CTGGCAGATGGTCTTCCTGCAGAAGGTAAGGGCCTGCAGCAGGGTGGGCCCGGGCGCCCCAGCCCCCGCCCCGCGCTGACGTCCCCCCTGTCCTGCAGTACCCTCCCCCGCTGATCCCCCCGCGCGGGGAGGTGAACGCGGCCGACGCCTTCGACATCGGCTCCTTCGACGAGGAGGACACGAAAGGGATCAAGGTACAGGGCCTGGCCCGGCCTCTGCGCGGGGCCCGCGTGGCTCCGTGGCGTGGGTGGTGGGCCCGCCGCGGGCCGCGGGCAGACCTGTGGCTGACGGCCCCCTGTCCCTGCGGCGAAGTTGCTGGACAGCGACCAGGAGCTCTACCGCAACTTCCCCCTCACCATCTCGGAGCGGTGGCAGCAGGAGGTGGCCGAGACGGTCTTCGACACCATCAACGCCGAGACCGACCGGCTGGAGGCGCGCAAGAAGGCCAAGAACAAGCAGCTGGGCCACGAGGAAGGTGAGGGCTCGGGCGGGGCGGGGTGGGCCTGGCGGGGCCTGGCGGGGCCTGGCGGGGTGGGCCGCCGCGCTCAGGCCCCTGCGCTCTCTCGCGCCAGACTACGCCCTGGGCAAGGACTGCATCATGCATGGCTACATGTCCAAGATGGGCAACCCCTTCCTGACCCAGTGGCAGCGGCGGTACTTCTACCTGTTCCCCAACCGGCTCGAGTGGCGGGGCGAGGGCGAGGCCCCGGTAAGCCGCGCAGGTGGGGAGCGGGCGGGGGGGCGCCGGGGGCGGGGCTGGGCCTGGCCTCACCCGCCACCCGGCGCCTGCAGCAGAGCCTGCTGACCATGGAGGAGATCCAGTCGGTGGAGGAGACGCAGATCAAGGAGCGCAAGTGCCTGCTGCTCAAGATCCGCGGGGGCAAGCAGTTCGTCCTGCAGTGCGACGTGAGTGGGCGCGGGGCGGGGCTCCCGGGGGCGGGGCTCCGGTGGGGGCGGGGCTCCAGGGTAGGGGCGGGGCTCGCGGACGGAGCTGGATGGGAGCTGGGACCCCAGGCTTAGGGGCGGGGCTCCCGGGTGGGGGCTGGGCTCCCGGGCCGGATGGGAGTGACTCCTGGCTTGGGGGCGGGGCTCCCGGGCAGGGCGGGGCTCCAGGGTAGGGGCGGGGCTCGCGGACGGAGCTGGATGGGAGCTGGGACTCCTGGCTTGGGGGCGGGGCTCCAGGGTAGGGGCGGGGCTCACGGACGGAGCTGGATGGGAGCTGGGACTCCAGGCTTCGGGGCGGGGCTCCCGGGTGGGGGCGGGGCTCCCGGGCCGATGGGACTGACTCCTGGCTTGGGGGCGGGGCTCCCGGACGGAGCGGGACCGGAACTGGGATTCCGGGCTTGGGGGCGGGGCTCCCGGGCAGGGCGGGGCTCCCGGACGGAGCGGGACCGGAACTGGGATTCCGGGCTTGGGGGCGGGGCTCCCGGGCAGGTGCTGACGGAGCCCCGCCCCCGCCTCCAGAGCGACCCCGAGCTGGTGCAGTGGAAGAAGGAGCTTCGCGACGCCTACCGCGAGGCGCAGCAGCTGGTGCAGCGGGTGCCCCGGATGAAGAACAAGCCGCGCTCGCCCGTGGTGGAGCTCAGCAAGGTGCCGCTGGTGCAGCGCAGCAGCGCCAACGGCCTGTGAGCCGCCCCGCCGCCTTTTGTAGACCTCTAATTTATTTTGTCGGATTTTTATTATTTGTTTTCCCGCAAAGCGGAAAAGGTTTTATTTTGTAATTATTGTGATCTCCTGTGGCCCCAGCCTGGCCCAGCCCCCAGGGAGGGGCCCGCTTGCCTTGGCTCCCGCTGCCACCCCTGGCCACTGTCCAGTGCCCCCTGCCCCGACCTCCAGGGGCCGCCTGCTCCCAGTGTCTTCCTGTGAGAGGGGCGAGGCGGGGCGGCGGGCCTCTTGCCCCTGGCCCGGGCACGACGTCACACTGACTGTACCCTGGGGCTCCGCGGGCTGTGTCCTGTGCCCAGGGTGGGGCTGGGGGATGGGGGCGGGGCCTCTGCCACAGGGAGGCGCAGCACAAGGATTCTACTTGAACTTGCCCACTGCGGCCCTTCCCGGGACATGGGGACAGACGGTATGCTGTCCTGCTCGCCGGCCGCTGGCGGAGAGAGGGGACCTGCTGTATCCTGTGGCGACTCGGGCTCCGGTGCCCTGTTCGGGAGAAGCCTCCGTGTCGCAGCCTGCCCTGGACACCGTGGCTCAGCCAAGAGGGTGGTGTGGGCAGCAGGTGCTGCCCCGCCCCGACACCCCTCTCTCCCAGCCCCCTCTCCCTCCCACCCGAGCACTTGGGCTCAGGGACCACAGAAAGGCAACTGTGGATTGGGCCATACTGGCCTAGCCTGGCCTCAAGGCCCCCCAAGCCCTGGGCCAAGGGAGGCCCCGCCTGGGTGGGCGGGCAGCATGGCGCGAGGGCCGGCCGTGTGCCCCTCCACAGCCCCGTCCTGTCCGTGCCGCCGGGCACCGCCTCGCCTGCCGCATGCCCCTCGTGCCAGTCGCGCTGCCGTGTGTGGTGTCGCACCCTCTCCCCGGGGGCTGGGTCGGCGCGCCCTCCCCTCCGTCTGCTCACTCCCTGGGGTGTTTCTTTGCCGATTTTTGAATGTGATTTTAAAGAGTGGAAAATGAGACTATGCGTTTTTATAAAAAATGGTGCCTGACTGCTTGTCCGAGTCTCCTTGCATGTGTCCACTGCTGCTGGGTGGGGGGCTGATGCGGGAAGCTCCCGGGGCCCCCAGAGCCGGACCCTCTTCTAGGGGAGGCAGGGCACCCCCACTCTGCCACCGTGCCCCGCTCCCCCTTGGCGGCCATCCAGTACCCATCCCCTGCCTTCTGCCCACCGCCCCGGCAAGCTGCCAGTGGTGCCAGTGGCTCCGCACTTGGCATCGCTTCGCACCAGCTGGCCACCTCTGCCTGCCTGAGCAGCCCTGCTTGGCAGGCTCCCGGCTGAAGTCCCTCCCCGGGGTCAGTCCAGGAGGCTGTGCTGCCCTGTAGGGTGGACCGCAGCCCCCGGCCAGGGCGGCCCTCCTGGCTTCGGTCTCCCCGCTGGCCTTGCTGTATGGCCCCCAGGTCCAAAGGCTTGGGGCGTCGCCCTGTAGCAGGCTGCTCACCTTCCCGGTCAACTTTTGCCCACAGCCCCAGTGGAGGCATGGGGCAAGGCCGGGGCCACAGCACAGCTCGGCCGCCCCGGGGTGTCTAGGCCAGGGCCACAGCACAGCTCGGCCACTCCTGGGCATCTAGGCCAGGGCCATGGTCACACGGCGCAGCACGGCCACCCCTGGGTGTCTAGGCCGGGGCCGTGGCTACACGGCACAGCACGGCCGCTCCTGGGCGTCTAGGCCGGGGCCGTGGCTACACGGCGCAGCACGGCTGCTCCTGGGCGTCTAGGCCGGGGCCGTGGCCACACGGCGCAGCACGGCTGCTCCTGGGCGTCTAGGCCGGGGCCGTGGCCACACGGCACAGCACGGCTGCTCCTGGGGAGTCTTGAGGGAAGCGGGGTGGGGCGTGGTGGCATTTCTGATGTGGGGGAGGGTCAGGCGCTCCTGGGGGGCTCCGGTTGGCTGCAGCACTTCGAGGAGCCCTGAATCCCTGGCCCACCTGAGCACAGGACAGAGATGTGAATGGACACGCAGCCTGCAGCTCGCTTGGCTCTGAGCAGGTCGGGTGAGGGCTGGGTGCAGGGGTGCAGGGTGGCAGGCTGGGGGCTACAGCTGTGCGGTGGCGAGGTGACGGGTGGGGTGCAAGAAGAGGGTCCTGCAGGACGGGGGGCCCAGGGTGGGACATGGGGAGGCCGGTGGCCCTGCACCAGGGCCCGCAGGGAGGAGGGCCCACGTGGCTGGATTTGGCTGGGGTCACCCGGATAGCTGAGTTCAGGCCACCTGGCCCAGAGAAGTCGGGGGGTGGGGTGGGGAGGTGGTCTCAGAATGACAGTGCAGGAGCTGCATCCTGGGGGTCAGGGGCCCAGCAAAAGGGCTGGGAACGAAGGTGCCCGGACTGTGGTGTCCAAGATGAGCAGCAGAGGCCGGCCTGGTGCTCTTCACCTCTTTGGTAGAGGGGTGTGCCTGGGCAGGGGACACCCTGCCTCGGCAGAGACCAGAGATCTGGGAGCCCTGGTCACTCAAGCCCTTGAGCTGACCCTAGGACTTGAGGACACCCCAGAGCGGGGTGGCCAGGTGACCTCTGGCAGCAGAGCGGCCACCCGGCACCCCGAGAAAGGCTCCTGGCCCAGGCACTGAAGCAGGGAACCTGGAGCCCCGCCGCCGGCAGACACGGCCCGGGGCCCCTGGGGGCCGGAACTGGGCTGGCTGAGGCCTGCACCCCAGTTCTGGCGCGGGCCCTGATTTGGAAACTCCCCTCCCCTCCCCCACTGGCAGCACAGTGCAGCTCTGCAGTAGCGGTCCAGCGCCGCCCACGCGCGGGCTCCGGAGCCCGGGACACCCCTCTCCCTTCACTGCTGTCCCCAGAGCGCGCGCGGAGCTGCGGCCTCGGCCGGGTCCTGGGGGCAGGGGCTGCACGCGCAGCCGGCCAGCGTGGATCCTCTCCCAGCTGGGCGCTCCGTCCTCGGGCTGGGGTGGGCTCGCCAGACCTCTCCCGACCCCCCCACCACACAGGCACAGTCGGTGTCCGAGGGACCTGGGAGAAAGGGCGGAGGCGGCGGGCTGAGGGCAAATGCAGCTTCCCTGGCCGCCGCACGGCCGCGGCCGCCGCGCGCGCACGCGCACTCGCAGGCCCTCCTCAGGGGCGCAGCCTCGCCCCGCCCTCGGGCCCCCTCCGGCCCCTTCCGGACCCACCAGGAAAGGGTCTGCGCAGGGCCTGGGGCGCCCCCTGCAGGCCGCGGGCGGAGCGGCAGCCGGGGTCCGCGCGGAGACCCGGACCCCGGCTACTCCCCGGCCGCCCAGCAGCGCCCCCCCTTGCCGGCCCCGGGCGCCCGTGGACCGGACCGCCGTTGTCATGGCTCCGGGAGGCGGGGGGGCGCGCGGCTCAACGCCCCGCCCCGGGCCCCCCGCCCCCGCCGCCTGCGCCGCCGCCGCTGCTGTCGCCGGGGCGCGGCCGCAAGGGGAGGCGAGGGGGCCGCGCCGGGCCCGGAGCCGAGGCGGGGCCGGGCCGCCCCCGCCGCGCCTGCCCGCTCGCCCGCCCGAGATGCGGCGCTGAGGCCCAGCATGGCCGGCCCGGACCCCACCTTCCCGCTGCACCGGCTCGTCTGGGCGAACCGGCACCGCGAACTGGAGGCCGCGCTGCACAGCCGCCAGGTGAGGGCCCCCAGGGCGCCGGTCCTCGCCCCGCGCCCCCACCCGCCCTCGCCAAGGCTGTGGTCCTCCTCCCGGAGCCCGCCCCCCCACCCCTGCCCAGCTCTGCAGCCGCATCGCAAGCCCTGGTCACCTGCCCCTGGCGCTCCGGCCTCTGGCCTGGGCTCCCAGCCCTGGCCCTGCCCTGATCCTGGGCCCCCTCCCGCATCACTCCCGAGTCGGGCTGAGAACGGAATGCCGGTTCTGGCCCCCAGGCCGGTCCTGACTCTGGACATCGGCTCGCAGCCCTGCTGCCCTTCTTCCCGCCCCCTGCCTCCCCTGCTAGGCCACACGGGCCACCTGCCTGCCCTCTCTGCCCGTCTCTTCTCCCACGGTGGCTCCCAGCCCTGGCGTCAGCCCGGTGGCCTCTGGACGCTTGCCCTGACCCTGGTTGACCCGGCTTCCCTAGCACGACATCGAGCAGGAGGACCCCCGGGGGCGCACCCCCCTGGAGCTGGCCGTGTCCCTGGGGAACTTGGAGTCCGTGAGAGTCCTTCTCCGACACAACGCCAACGTGGGCAAAGAGAGCCGGCAGGGCTGGGCAGGTACTGCCTTGGGGCTGGCAGTGGGGTGGCCGGCGGGAGCGAGCGGCCAGGCCCCGGGGCACGGGGAGGGCCCCTCGGCAGCCTGCCGCCCCCAGTCCTGCAGGAGGCGGTGAGCACTGGCGACCCCGAGATAGTGCAGCTGGTCCTCCAGTATCGGAATTTCCAGAGGGCCACGCAGAGGCTGGCCGGCATCCCGGAACTGCTCAGCAAACTGCGGCAGGTACGGCGCCAGGCCCGGCCCGGGCTCCGGGGGGTCCCGGCTGCAGCGCGCGGCCAGGGTCGTCCGTCTCAACCCCAGTTCAGGGTCTCATCAGAAAAAAGAGGCACCCAGGGCCCCCGGCCAGGGCAAACCTGCATGGCCATCGCGGGGCCCCCGGTGCCCGAAGTCTCCGCAGAGCCTTAGGCTTCGGGGCACCTGGAGTGTGCAGATGTCCCGGAAGGGGGGCTTTCAGGCCAACTCACGCATACGGCCTGGACCCCCGAAAACTTGCTTCTGTCTCGATCCGAGATTCTGGAAGCGCACGGAGAGCCCGGCTCACGGAGCACTCTGACCCTGCCCACCCCTCATGCAGGCCAGCAGAGGGTCTCCGTGCCCCCTTTATGGAGGGGGACTGTGAGATCCAGAGGGGGCAAAAGCTGCCCGGGGCTCCCACGGCTGGAGAGTGGCCCCAGACTTCGGGGTGCTTGCAGCCTTGTTGTACCCCTAGCGGTTCAGGGCTCCCCGGGCCCCTCCCTCCTGGACAGGGTCCGGCTTGCTGCCGCTGGCTCCCGTCGGGCAGCTGCGTGCCGGAGTCCCTCAGGCCTGCTGCGCCCTGGTGGACGGCTGTGCTCTGTCCCTCTCAGGCTCCCGATTTCTACGTGGAGATGAAGTGGGAGTTCACCAGCTGGGGTGAGTAGGGGCCTCTCTGCTCCCAGGGATGGGGGCTGGGGCCGTAGAGGAAGTCACCCCTGAGGACGTCAGCACCCCCTGCAGTGCCCCTCGTGTCCAAGATGTGCCCGAGTGACGTGTACCGCGTGTGGAAGCGGGGCGAGAGCCTGCGGGTGGACACCAGCCTCCTGGGCTTCGAGCGCATGGCCTGGCAGCGTGGCCGGAGGAGCTTCGTCTTCAGGGGCCAGGGTGAGCGCCCGGGATGGAGGGCAGCCCCGCTCAGCAGCAGGTGGCTGGGGGCAGCATGATGGCCTCTGTGCCACTGACCTGCGCCCTCTCGGACACGGCGGCGGCTGGCAGAAGCGGGAGCCCTGGTGATGGAAGTGGACCACGACCGGCAGGTGGTGCACACGGAGGTGCTGGGGCTCACGCTGCAGGAGCCTGAAGCGCTGCTGGCTGCCATGCGGCCCAGCATGGAGCACGTGGCCAGCCGCCTCACCTCTCCTATTGTCTCCACCCACCTGGACACGCGGAATGTGGCCTTTGAGAGGTCAGTTGGGGCTGGCGGGGTCGGGGGGGGACAGGTGAGAGCCGCCCGTGTCTGACCCCGCAGGTTTTTTTTTTTTTTTTTAAGATTAATTAATGGTTTATGTGAAAGGCAGAGTGACGGAGAGAGAAGGATCTTCCGACTGCTGGTTCACTCCCCACTCGGCTGCAATGGCCAGGACTGGGCCGGGCCAACGCCCTGCGCCTGGAGCTCCATCTGGGTCTCCCCCGCGGGTGCAGGGCCCCAGCACTGGGGCCGAGTTCCTCTGCTTTCCCAGGCGCAGCAGCAGGGAGCTGGATCGGAAGCCGAGCAGCCAGGAGTCAAGGTGGCGCCTGTGTAGGACGCCAGCACCGCAGGCAGGGGTACCCTGCTCTGCCGGGAGGCCAGCGTGTTGCGAGCTTTGACGCTGGCGGAGAGTGTGTCCTCCCGCTCTGTTCTTGGGGGCTGTCCTCGGTCCTCTAGATTCCGCCCGTCAGTGCCCACGGGTGGGACCCTGGCAGGGCCTGTGCCGAGTCATCCAGGGAGCAGCCCACGGCAGCAGCGCGAAGCCGTCCACCACGGGCGTGGGGCCGGCTGAATCTTCTGTAATTCCTTCCAACAGCCTGTTGAGTTTTCAGAGTGTAAGCTTTGCACTTCTGTTCAAAGTTTCCCAAGCACTTTATTCTCTGACGCTATCATGAATCCAGTGTGTGCGTGTGCATGTGGGTGTGTGTGAGTGCGTGTGCATGTGTGTGCATGTGAGTGTGTGTATGTGTGTATGTATGAGTGTGCATGTGCATGTGTGAGTGCGTGTGCATGTGTGTATGTATGAGTGCATGTGTGTGTATGAGTGTGCATGTGTGTGTGCGTGTGGGTGTGTGTGAGTGCGTGTGCATGTGTGTATGAGTGTGCGTGTGGGTGTGTGAGTGCGTGTGCATGTGTGTATGAGTGTGCATGTGTGTGTATGTGTGCATGCATGTGTGTGAACGTGTGTGAGTGTATGTGCATGCGTGTGTGCGCACACGTGTGTGATTTCCTTTTTTGGGTTGCTGGTTGCAAGCACTGGAGAGGACAGTTGAGTTTCGCGTGTCGGCCACGTCCCCGGCAGCGTCGGTGGACTCCGGCATCAGCTGGCCTAGCCTCGTGGTTCTGTGGGGCAGCAGGTGGAGCTGGCACTGGGGTGACCACGGCCGGTTCAGGACGGGGCCGCTGTACTGCCAGCCCTGCTTCTGGGAAGTCCGCAGACCGCGGCCTACGCACGTGGGCTCCTGCTCCCATGGGAGACGCTGGGAGCTCCTGCTGCTGGCTGTGGGCTGGCCCAGCACCAGCTTTTGTGGGCATTTAAGGAGTGACCTTAAATAGTGGAGCTATCTTCTCTCTCTCCCTCTACTTCTCCCTCTCTGTCAGTCTACCCTTCAAATAAATATATAAAGCTTTTTTTAAAAAATACATATGCTTATGGCCTGGGAAGCAGTGGAAGATGGCCCAAGTGCTTGGGCCCCTGCACCTGCATGGGAGACCTGGAGGGAGCTCCTGGCTTCTGGCTTCGGATCGGCGCAGCTCTGGCCATTGGGGCCATTTGGGGAGTGAACCAGCGGATGGAAGACCTCTCTCTCTCTCTCTCTCTCTCTCTCTCTCTCTCTGTCTCAGTGTCTCTCTCTGTAATTCTACCACTCAAA